CCACGCCCCGGCCACCTGGGCCCCCACCCTCTTCGGGGTCTCGGCTCCGGAAGCTGCTCAGCACGACTCCCCCGGAGGGGCTCGTGTCCCAAAGCAGCCGCAGGGGCCGCCGGAGCATGGCCGAGTGAAGGAATCAGCGGGGTCGGGCCATGGGGGCGCCTGGGGAGAGACAGGAGGGGGGAGGCAGGTGGAGAGTCAGGTGGGCGCGGGGAAGCCGGGAGGGGAGGTACGCGGGTGGGTTCTATGTTTTACTAGATGGGAGTCCTGCAGGGAGGCTGGGCGGGGGGCAACACAGGGGTGGAATTGGGGGGGGGCTGGTGCATTTTGAGGATGGGGGTCACGAGTACGGGAACGGGCAGGGTCACTGGGTGCGCTGGCTCTGACCTGCTCTGGATGGGTGGGGGCAGCGCGGGTCCCGGGCCGCTGTTCCCGTCTGTCTCCAGCCCCCGATCAAGTTCCTGGACTGAGTCCCTCCCCGGCTTTTCCGCACCCCCTTGTACCCCCCCTCGCCAGACTCCCGGGCCCTCCCGCCCTTTCCGCTCCCCCCAACGTCCGCCCGCTCCGAGAGCAGGAGCCAAAAAGGGAAGGAAGTGAGGACAGGAGACAGGGCTGCGGACTAGGGGAGCGTTGGACACCAGAGGTCAGGACCCAGAGGCCCGGGTCCCGAGCAACGCTGTCCTTGGGTCCCACTGACTCGGGGATCCTGGAATTCAATTCGCCCCGCACTGAATTGGGATAAAGATTCCAGTCTCCAGCCCCCGGGGAAGGGCAAGAGCAGTATTTGACATCCTCCTCTCCCGACACAACGACGAGGCTAAAACTCCCGCGGCAAGTGTTTTAGGCTGGGACGGACCTAGTTACTCCAGCCCGCGGGGTTACTCTCCCACCCGCACTCACGCGTATAGCAGGCCGAAATCCACTCCGGCTTTTCCGAGAAGCCCTCGGCTTCCGCCCGCTTGAAAGGGGGCGGGGCAGGAAGCTGCCACTTCCGGTTCCACACGACGCTCCGGGGTTTCCGAGGCTGGGATCTCTGCTCCCTTACGGTCACCCCCGGAGGGCCCGAGGCTTGAGGGCATCCTGCCTGCCTTTAGCGGCGCCTGACCCCAAAGTGTTTCGAAAGGGGATTGGGTATCGCAAAGGCGTTTGAGAGGTCCGGGTCACGAAGGAATCACTGGTGATTGGAAGTCATTGTGCTTGGAAAGGGGATCCCTGGAGTAGAATGGAAACATCCCCGTTGGAAGCACTCGAGCAACTTTATTTCCCACAAGATTAGACCCGCTCCCCGCGTCTGTTTTGCCGACCATTCAACCCCCCCTGAGGTCCCTAAGCCGAGGCGACCGCTTCCTTCCTCCAATAGTTACTTGCTCCAACACCTGATTTTGAATACTTAGGACGCCAAAAGACTCCAATTTCTTATATTGAGCGTCCTCCAGTGGGCGCCAGGCCCTTTGCCTGCGCGGAGGACACAGCAGTGGACAGACAGGCTCATCCTGGCCTTGGAGAGGTCCGACAGTCCGGGCGGGGAGACAGGCATTTAACAACGACTCGAACGATTACTTAAATACAACCGTGGCGAACCGCACAAGAGGGACACGCGGCGGTCTGAGGGAATAACGAGGTTGACCTGGTCTGGAGCCCGGGGAGGGCGAGGGTGGACCAGGCCGAGGGAACAGAGCTCTGGGACCCAGGGAGGATAGGAGGCCATTGGAGGAAAGGATCAGCCGCCGGTGGGACAAGCATTGAGAGGAGGGCTGGAGAGCACCAGGTGGGCTTGAAGAGGGATGCATAGGCCAGGACAAGAAGAATGGATCTGGCCTCTAGAGCACCGGGTCCTATTCCAGAGGTCCCTGAGACTATTTCAGGGGGGTATTTAAACTATTTTCATAACAATACTAAACTATTATTTGCCTCTTCGCTCTCATTCTCTAAAAAATGTAGAGTTTTCCTGAAGCTACATGGTGTGTAGTGACATTGTCCTCACAGCTAATGGAAGTGTGCTTGTGTACTCCTGTGTATTAAATTGTTCTCAATTTTAAGTTCTAATACAATAAATGTCTATAGTTTATAACCCACACAAGAAAAGCTCTATAGAGTCCTTGATAATTTTTAAAAGGTCCTAAGACCAAAAATTTTGAGAACCGCTGCTCTAGAGCTCTAAGAAGGTGAATACCGTGGATTTGTGTCTTTTAAGAAAACATTCTGGCTGCTCAGTGGAAAGAGACTGAAGGGATCAGGGTGTACAATTTGGGAGAGTTACTACAATAGCTCAGACCAGAGATGATCGTGGCTTCCCCAGGATGGTGGCGAGTGGCCTCACTGTGTTTTCTGGAAGAGAAGTGAAAAGGAGGTGAGGAATTCAGGAATTTAGAAAGCAGGGTGAAGTGTTTATGGTCAATCCAGAGACAGATTAACATCACAGGCACAGACAGTGGCAGAAGAAAGAGGCTAACACTTTCTGTATGTTTTCTGCCTGGGGGATGCTGTGCCAAGGGGTTTTGCTCCTGCATCTTTCAAAGGAGATGCACTATCTCTAATCATACCAACAGCCCTCCGAGCCTGTGCTGTCCAGTAGGGAATCCACCACCCACTTGTGTCTGTTGAGCATTTGAAATGTGGCTACTCCAAATTGAGGTGTGCTGACAGTTTAAAATAAATCCCTGCTTTTGAAGACTTAGGATAGAAAAAACACTGTAATTTCTTATACTGAGTACATGTCGAAGTGATAATAGTAAGGATATATTAGGTATCTTTTTACCTTTTTAATGCAGCCACTAGAGTATGTACTTAAATTTACTTCTGTGGCTTGCATGATATTTCTGTAGGACAATGCTGCCTAAGTAACTTACTGTTTAATTTTTTTACTTAATTTTTTTTTGAAGGTACTGGGGATTGAACCCAGGACCTTGTGCATGCCAAGCACAAGCTCTACCACTGATCTATACCCACACCCCCATCCCCAATTTTTTATCCCTACATCCAAGAAAGCTGAGGTGTAGCATGTTCAAGGTGGCCAGATTTAACAGAGGTTTGTGTGAATTCCAAGTCTGGTTTCTACCCACCAGGCCAGCAGCCTCCCTCGTGGGGGAGGAGTTGGCAGGAAGGGTTAAATGAGAAGGGAAAGATAAAGGAAGGTGGAGTGTTGTTACCTTCTCTGTTGAATCCTTGGAGGTGGCCTGGTAGGCAGCTGTGGAGAGAGATGGAGAAAGGATGGGATGGGGGAGTATTAGGGCAGAGGAATGGGGGTGAAGCTTCTGGGAGTAGGCAGAGAATGTCTGCCAGTCAAGGGTCCCAGTCTAGGTGGGGTTCACACTCACCAGCCCAGCCCAGCGCCTTGACAAGCCCGAGGATGAGAAAGGCAGACAGGAAGAGGCCTACGCCATCCTCCAGAGAGGGCCCAGAGAGACCTGGCAAGGAGAAGCTGTAAGAGTGAGTCTTACATTCCCAGGCACCAGACCCCAGCTTCTCCATCCTCCCAGCTCTTACCTGCCACCTGCAGGGTGACCTCGGCGCTGCGCCCCAAGGCTGGCAGGCTAGGGTGGTGGACACGACAGGCATAGCGTGCCCCATGCTGCCTGGTGGTGACTGGGGGTGGCTGCAGGTGTGCAGAGAGACTGACAGAGCCATCTGAGTGGTAGCGCAGGGCGGACAGCCACCTCTGCCCCTCGGCCTTCTGAAAGCTGCCCTCTGGACCTCCCCGGAGCTCCCACTCCACCTTCAGGCTGTCAGAGGGGTAGAAGTGGGACACCAGGCAAAGCAACTCTGGGGGTGCCTCCCCAGGGGCGGCCCATACAAGAGGTGCTGGTGTCAGGGACACCGTGGGGGGCTCTGAGGAGAGAGTGAGAAAGGAACATGGGGGAATCAGTCTACATTGCCCTGCCTCGGAGACCCTCAGTGGGCCCTCTGGCTCCCCCAAAACTGAGAGGGGTTTGGGTTTTTTCTTCCAGGATGGGGAGCCCACCAACTGCCCATTGGTGTTTCACAGGAATCCCTGTGCCAAGGCCCCTATTCTCAGGGACCCCTATTCCCTCAGATTTGGGAATGTTCATCCCAAAGCCCCTCTGACACCCAGGGACCCAAGTCTGTCTCGCTCTACTCACCCAGCACCCTTTTCTCCACCATCCCTCCCCTTGTCATGGTGTCCCCATAACCCCAATGACCACCCTCTACCCATGGGGTCCCCTATCCCCTCACTCACTCTGCACAGCAAGCTCCAGGGTGATCTGCCCTTGCAGGTATGGCAGGTGTACAATGGCCAGATAGGTGCCCTCCTGGAAGGGCCGCACTGCAGGCAGCCAGAAGGTTCCATTTCCGGTCCATGGACCTAAGGGCTCCTCATCATCCCAAGCAGCAAATGCCACCGCTCCCTCTTGGGCAACTGGCATTTGCACATTCAGCCCAGGAGTTGCAGCCAGCAGCAGGTGCCCCTTACCCTGGTGTTGCCGTCGCCACTCCAGCCCAAAGGGAGGGGGACCTGGGGCCAGACATGTAGCAGCCTTGGGGGTGGGGGACATGTAAGCAAAGCTCAAGTCCAGCAGGGCATCTTCTCCCAGTCGGATGCGAGGGATGGGGGTGTGAGTGAGGACAGTCAGCACAGCTAGGGAGCATGGGGAGAGGAGGGAGTGGAGGGGCATGCGGGAGAGAAAGAAGGAAAAAGCAGAGACATGGAGTTATGGGGGGATTCAACTCCAATTTACCACCCCACCTTCTTCCACCATCTCCCAGCCCTCCCTGCAAATCCCCTTTGCCTGAGACTGGGTGGCACCCGGTATGACTGAGAGTGAGCAGAGAGGTCTAGAGGCGAACAAGAGCAGTGAATGGGGATGGCCATTGAAGGCTGCTCTGAACACACAGCCCGCTCAAGCTCTGAGGACAGCGGGATCTGAGTGTGCTTCTGACTCAACCTGAACCAGTCCAGTCTCCATGCTCCACCCTTGGAGAGCCAGGCCTTTAGTTTGCTGATGAAGACTCAGGACTGTCAACCCTGTGGTGCTATAAAGAGTATTTACCGACTCTGGAGGGTTCTGGTTTTTGCCTAAACCTGAACACAGACTGCTGTGATCTACTGAGGCAGTATATGCAGTAAGTACCTGGAGCCTTGTGGCTCCGTTAAATAAATAAACAAACAAACAGACACACAAACCTAATTATCTCCCCACAAAAAAAAGAGGGAAAAAGAAAAAGACAGGCAGCCTCTGCCCTCAAATTGTGTACAGTCTAATAAGGCAGATAGATGATCAAACTGCAAAATAAAATGTGCCATGTGCTATCCCCATCAGGCCCTACTTCTGTGTCCCAAATAGATCTTACGTCTGTTTCCAACTCAAGTTCTCATCAATATACACCTGGACAATGACAACAGCCTCCTCTCAGGTCTCCCTATCCTCAGCCTCTCTCGCCCCTTCATTTCTTCCTCCACCCGTAACCAAATAATGTGGCTACAAGTCTGATCCAGTCACTTGCCTATTTAAAAATATCAGCTACCTAAGAGGCCAGCAACTAAAGGCACAGGCTAAAGCTAGATGGCTTGGGTTCAATTCTGAGCCCTGCTTCTTACAAGTTGCACGGCCCTGGGCAAGTCACCTAACTGCTCTGTGTCTCATATTTCTTCATCTGTGACATGGGGATAATATCAGTACCTAGTTCTTACGGTTGTTGAGAGGAATAAATAAGATTATGCCTATAAAGTGCTTAGAACAGGACCTGGCATACAGAAAATGCTTAGCTGTTACTATTTTCATTACTGTCATCATCATCAACTTGGGAAAATGACTTTATCTATATTTTACCCATTAGTCCAATGATCTGATCCTTGCCTACCTTTTGTAAAAATCTAGTAAAATAGCAGGCTTCTGGGGAAATGGCGCATGCACACACATACACACACACATACACACACACACACAAAACTTCTGATGGTTCACTATCACTTATAAACCTCAGCTTTCAGGGTACTTGATAATCCAGTCAGAACCCACCTTTCCAGACTTCTCTTGCATCCTAAGAACCAGCCACATAGAATCCCTGTCTTATGACCAGTAGAAACTCTAATCATTGGTCTTTGCTTTGTTCATAAAGTTCCTTCAGTTTACAAGGCCCCTCCCCATTTTCTCCAACATGTAAATATTCCATGTCCCTCAAGATCTGTTCCACTGCCAGAGATGTCTGCGTCTTCAAGGCAGAAGTAATCTTTTTTCTCTTGTGATTATTTTTATGTAAATTTAAATCCTAGCTTCTTAGGCCTACAAGGTTAAACTTCTCTGAACCTCATGGGATTGTTTTTGTTCAATAGAGTGAAAAAAGTAAGCAAACTCACTTAGCGTATTCAAATCCAAAAACATACTTTTGAAGTGTTAAAATCAATCTGTAGGATTAATAAACAAAATCCAAAGACTTTACAGTTCAATCCTTAAGCTAGCCCTTTAATATGGGTTATTAAAGCAATTTGAGATTTGCATCCCACAAACGGACTCTGTGAAAATACAAATATAAACACAACAGGGCCAGAACAATAAGGACATTTCTACCTTTTTTGTAGTTTGTACTATATAGGTTTTTGCTTTTCTGTTAAAAAGTGAATGGTAACAACTATTATAAAGTACTAGTGGAAAAATTCAAACCCAAATCTAATCAAGCATCTAGATCTAACTGCCAATTAATAGGAACTATGGAGAGAAAAGGAACAAGGGAAATGACATGATGAGGAAACAATTCACCAAATACTGAAAGTGGGAACTTCTACAGAACAAATGACAAATCAATAGCATTTAAAAGGGTGGGGCAATTACAAAGAAAAGAGACTTAAGAGACAAAATTTTAAGGACTAAATATCTGTAGTTCTCCCTCCCCTCCTACCCTTTCAATTTGTATGTGGAAGCCTTGACCCACTGTATGACTGTATTTGGAGATAGTGACTGTGAGATGATAAAAGTTAAATGAGGTCATAAAGGTAGGGCCCTAATCTGATAGAGCTGGTGCCCTTATAGGAAGAGGAAAAAATACCAAGAGTTCACTCTCTCTCCTCTGTATCAGGACACAGCCAGAAGATGGCCATCTGTAACCACAGGGGAGGGTTCTCACCAGACACCAACCGTGCTAGCACCTTGATCTCAGACTTGATCTTTGACTTCTAGCCTCCAGAACTGTGAGAAAATAAATTCCTATTGTTTAAGCTACCCGGTCTATGATATTTTGTTCTGGCAGGCCGAGCAGATTCAACAACCAACTATAACACAGATTTCTTTTTGATCCTGATTCAAGCAAATCAACTGTAAAAGAACATCATTGAGACAACTGGGAAATTTTTAATATGAGTCAGGAATTAAATGATATTAAGGAATTGTCTGTTTTGTTAGGTATGATAATGCTATTAAAGTGAGGGTTTTATTAGAGTAATTTTCTTTTAATGGACATACTGGGGATTGAACCCAGGACCTGATGCATGCTAAGGATGCACTCTACCACTGAGCTGTATCTTCCCCCCTCAAAGCCATTATTTAATAGAAATGCTTACTTAAGTACTTATGAGTAAAATAATATGATAGGATATACTTAAAAACACTTCCAAAAAAGACTAGAAGGTTGGGGGAAGATATGTGAAACAATTTGGTAAAATGTAATAACTATGCAAGTGGGTAACAGGCATATGGGGGGTTCAATTTACTATTCTCTACTTTAGCATGTCATTGAAATTTTCCACAACAATGTTTTAACAGAATGATGAGAATTAAATGCCATACACACAAAGTATATTAATAAAGTATATTTGTCAATAAACATTTTAGAGTATTTGATAACTAATTTGTTAAGAGATAATGTATAAATGTATATTAGCAAAGTTACCAATGATTTGCAACCCTGGAAAGAGTCCATTTTTAATTTTATATTAAAACAACAACTTTCATTTTTTTAAATCCCTAATCAAGCAGAAATGCTTGAAGAGAAAGACTGAGCACAGCAAGGAATTTTCACCCCCAGTGGTGGATGAGATACAATAGTTTTCCCACCTGGGCACTCCCATGGCTCCCTATCTGCACTTCTTTTATGGCCCAAGTTACTTTCCACTCTACAATTATCCATGACAGATCTGATGAGAACTTTCTTGAGGGTAGAATCTACATCAGATCACCTTTGTGGCCCTTAAAAATACCCAGGGCCACCCCAGAGATTTTGATTTAATTCACCTGGAGTAGGACTTAGGCTTCAGTATATTTTAGAAACTTCCAAAAAGGATTCTTATTTGCAGCCTGGACTGAGAACTACTGGGCCCTTATTTATTCTTGGTGCTAATTTAAGTTATGCAGTCAGCGAATAAATTAACAAAGTACCTCCCTTGATAGTCACAACAAAGGAAAGGCAGATGGGAAATACTGTCCACATTTTACAGCTGGAAAAGTAGACTCAGAGAGAAAATGACATTCTCACCCCCACCTCATGAAGCCAGGAAATATTCCTGCCTACTAGAGAGAGCTACTGTCCCCACAAGCAGCAGTTTACCTCTGCCCCTGCCCAGGGCGAGGTCTGGTGACTAAGAATGGAAATGTTAGCAGAGGTGAGGGCTACAGGGTGGTTGCTGATTCCTGTAGATGATTCTCAATGAGGAGAGTGGCAGGGAGAAGGTACCGGGGGAAGGGAAGGTGTAGGGCTGGGCTGGGGTTGACCAGGAGGTCAGGCTGTATTTTTTCCATAAAATCACACAAGGCTGAAGGAAACTGAAGACTCCATTCATATCCTACCCACCCTCCCGAGAAGAGTTCCTAGAAATCCCAAATCCCCGCCAGATTTTCTTCATTCTTGCTTTATCCGTCCACTCCCTCCCTTCCTCTCTCCCTGCGTCCTAGCCAAGCAAAGTGCCTGACTCCCGGGCCTCAAACCGCATTGCACGATGCAGTTAATTGGTCCTTGCAGTGGGAACGTGGAAACCGTTAGGTCTCCCACCGCTTCCTTTCTACGCACGCACTCAAGGCCAGCATCTGGTGACGAGAGAGTCAGCGAATCCTCACTCGCTATAAGGAAGAGGCTGCAGGGTAGGTGAGCGCGCTTGAGCTCAAAAGCGTGAGCTTTGCAGGACCGGATGTGGGCACGTGTGGGGCTCGAAAACCCTGTTTTTAAACAGGGTAAGAATCGCAACTAGCAAGATATAGCAGGAAAGAAGAAGTTCCTCCTTCTGAGACCCTCCCAACACCGTTGCCTTGCAAGTTTCTTAAGGTCCAGTGTCCAGAACCCCTGCCTCTCTCCAAAGCTCCACCCCCGGAAAACCACGAAGCCCCGCCCCCAATAAACATTTTTAACAGGTCTGGGGCTAGGAGAAGCGGTTAGGGACAGGTTTTTTTTTTTCTTTCTTTCTTTTTTGTATACAACTGTTAGAGATAGTTTAATTTTAGCTGAACCGCCTCGATTTACAAATAAGGAAACTGAGAGTTGACTGGGGAAATGACTAGCTCAATTCGGCACAGCGAGTCACCGGCTGATCTGGACCCCTATTATCTACCCATTTATCTACACTTCCCCTCTTAGATACCTGTAGCAATGGTTATGAGAGCAGGCTCAGGCTGAGGCTCGGACTCTCGTCGAAGGAGGCTGGAGAGGCTGAGGACCGGGCTGGATATGCTGACCATGAGCCAAGTCCCGTCCAGGGCCCGCGGGCAGCTCTGCTCCGGAGTCAAGACGCTGACCCAGTTTGCTGAGGCAGGGAACGGGACGTATCGGCTCATCTCGCAGCGTGGCGCGGGGGCGTCCCGGGGGTACCCCCTGAAGGCCGCCAGGAGGGCACCCGCAGGATCTGTGAGCGCAGAGAAGGGAGTTGCTGCTGTAGAGTCGCCACCAGGAAAGGGCCGGGGATGGCAGCGTCCAGGGAATTTCAGACGTACAGATTACCAGGTAGTGAGAGATTTAGCAGTAATCCAGTTTCATTTTACAGAGGGGGAAACTGAGGCCCGAGGTCACTGCGAGACTTAAAAAGGAGGGGGTCTCGGTGGAGACGACAGAGTTAGGAGCGAGTCGGGGGGACTCACCATGCACTTTCAGGTAGAGCTCTGGGTCGAGGTCTGGCCGGGGAAGTAGGCTCTCCGCGCCCTGGCGCAGCAGCAGTGCAGCGGGTTTCTTGGTTAGCTGGCCCCTGCCCGCATCCTCCACCAACCAACACTCTATCACCGCGGGTCCCGCCGAGACAGCGGTCCCCAAGCCTGGGGGAGAGGGGCGCAAGTAAGGGGACAAGCCCAATGTCAGGTGACCCAACCTCCCACTCTCCCGTCCCGACGTGCCAGGGTCACCTCTGCCATCCCTGGGCAAAGAGTCGCGGGGTTTGCTCACCCAAAGCCACAGCGAGGAGCAGGGACAGAGGCTTCATGGCGCCGCGATCTTCTCAGTGCCGAAGACTTCTCTTCCCCCTTTCACTTTCACTTTCCTCCAAAGGCCAGCAGGAGGGGCGGAGGAAGTCCCAGCTCTGATTAGGTTACAACACGTGGGAGGCAGGTGCTTCCCCCACTGGCTGGGCAGGGATCCCTGAACATCCTCTCCAGTTCTGGTCTGGAGACCTCGGCCTCGCCCTGCCCTCCTGGACCTCCCAGTACCACAGAGTCCAGGAGCCTTCCCATACCCTAGGCTCCCCTTCCCGTGCCCTCTCCCCCAGAGTCCACCTCCCTGAGAACCATTACTACACCTTCCCCGACCTGTGCCAGGTCCCTAGCAAACACACAGGGGTTGTCAGGAAGCCAAATGAAATGACCAATAAATATTTTAATCACTATTTAAAAAAAATAAGATTTAAAATAAAAACCTTGTACTCCTGTGACTTACTCCCTCTTCGTCTCCATTCCCCCCTCCCCAATGATAATGGAGTTGGGGGAACCCAAGGTGGGGAAAGAGGGGTTAGGGTAGAAATAAGGGGCACATCCTCTGGGGGGCAAGGTATATTCTAGGACAAGGGTGCGGCTCAAAGGCCTGGTCCCCACAACAACACAAACACAGACTTCAGATACAGACTACAACCACCTGACCCTTGATCCAGTGACTCCAGGATGCTCAACAAGCCCCCTTCCCCTCCCCATCATATGGGTGCCTGGGCTCTCAGCTTCAGTGTACCCATCTGAATGGAAGGAAGGGCTTAGTTCTGGGGATGCTTTGGGGAGGAGGGGCTGAGGAGTGGAATGGGGTGGCCCAAGGTGCAACGCGGTTCCCCCTCCAGAATATATACAAGTCCATAGCGATAGGAAGACAGTGTGTTAGGAGATCACCTAGGGGCCACAGCGCCCCTGGCTCGTGATCCCTATTCCCTCTTCCCAGGAAGCTACTCCCAGTAATCTGCCTCTTCAGTTTGCTCCTCCGCCCCCACTGAAGCCCATCTCCACCTTGGGGACACTGAGTGGGGACCAGACACGTCGGCTGGGAGGAGGCGTGGCCCCACTGGCCTCATCACCACTGCCCCTGCCAGGGGACTCTCTCTTGGGCTGCAAGGCTGGCCCCATGGGCCCACCAGGTCCCGGTCCGGCCCCACTCCCACCTAGGCGGTGCCGGCGCTCACAGTGTCCTCGGTGTCGCATGAAGCTGTCTCGCCACATGAACTTCTTGGCACAGACGCCGCACTCATAGGGCTTGAGGCCTGTGTGCGTCTTCATGTGCTCTGTCAGGTGGTGCTTCATCTTGAACTTTTTGTTGCACACGGGGCAGTCAAAGGGCCGCAGGTTGAGATGCATGTTCACATGCCGGTCTCGCATGCTCTTGTGGGAAAAGGCCTTCCCGCAGTGGCACAGAAATATCTTATTTCCATCCCCACTGCCTGTCCCTCCAGGGGTCCCACCAGTGCCACTTGGCATACCCAGGCCCCCTGCTGGTGTGCCCCCCAGGGTCACCGCCTCATGTTCAGCTTGGTTCCCTGGCGGCTGGCCTGGAGCCTGTGAGGAGGAGGAGGAGGAGGAGGAGGAAGAGGATGGGAAGACTAGGATTTGGTTGGCCTGCATGTCCAGGGGAAGCAGGGGCCTTGGAGGGTGAGAGGCAGTATAGGAGGAAGGGGTGGGTCCCCCTGAATCATCAAGCCCTGCCCCAGGACCCCCACCTTCATAGGGGCCAAAGTCATTGGAGGACTCACAGAAATTGACCTGCTCCTCTCCCTTGTCCGGAGGCTCAGACAGGGTCCGGACATCACTTATGCTAAGGGTAGCCTCAGGTCCTCCCCCTGCTGGAACCCCCGAGCCACCCCCCAGCTCTTCATCTTCATCATCCTCACAGGTCAACACCAAGTCTTCCTCCTCCTCCTCCTCTTCCAGGTCTGGGTCCTGGGGAGCCAAGGGTGCTGGTGCTGGGCAGTTTCCACCCCGTTTCACATATACCCAGTGTTTCTGTGGCACGATGCTGGGGGGTGCATAGGTGGGCCGCCTGAGCCCAGACCCAGGGACAACCGCACCCCTCCCATCCCCACCATCATCACACAGCTCATCTGCCTCCAGCAGCAGCTTTCCAGAGGTAGCCCCACCACTGCCAACCACAGGGGCTGGGAACACAGGGCCACTTCCTCGACGCTCCCCGCTGCCCACTGCAGAAGCTGCAAATGCCTCTTGGGAGGAAGAGGAGAAATCAGTGGACTCCCGGGGGCTGAAGTAGTTGCTGCTGCTGGGGGACTGATTCTCACTGGCCTGACTGGAGGCATGGGAGCGCACGGAGCCCACTGGGGCAGGGGTCACAGTGCCCCCACTCCCTGAGGGGACCCCAGCACCAGGGACAGTGACAGAGGTGGCTGCAGCAGTGGTGATGGTGGTGGCAGTGGCCGAGGCCCGGCCCTCGCGGAGGAGTTCAGTGCATTTATCCACGATGTGCCACATTTGGAGCACAGACCCCACTGTGAGGAAGTTGACAATGTCAGCAGCGGCCATGCTGAGGCGGCCAGTATAAGCCGAAGCCAAGACAGTCTCGAAGGCTCCTGGGTCCATGACACTGGGCAGTGAGATGGAGGTCATGCCTTTGAGTAGGACCTGGTCGTGGAAGTAAGGGGAAGAGGCCGCCAGGACAGCACGATGAGCCCTGAATTCGCGTCCCTGCACTCGGATGGACACATCACAGAGCTGGCCTTGTAGCCGCTGCTGATTGAGGGACTCCAGAAGGGCACTGGTTACCTCAGGGAAGGACACGTGCACCACTGCAGCTGCAGGCAGGGGCAGTGGTGGGGGAGCCAGCGATAGAGGCAGGGGGAGTGCTGCCCCACTGGGAGACAGAGGAGATGGCTCCATGGTGTGGAGGGAAGAGGTACCCCCCCAGCCACAGGAGCAAGAGAAGAAGGAGGGCGGCCGGGGGGGTCTCTGGAAAGAGAAAGAGAGACCAATGATAACATCTCATAATGACAGTTTAAAAACATGTTCAAGCTTATTGTCTGAGTAACTCCCCACAACAACACTATAAGATAGCGATTCCTTTCAACCTCACTTGACAGATGAGCAAACTGAGGCTCAGAAAGATTAAGAGATTATCCAAGGTCACATCAGTAAGTGGCAGGGCCCTAACTCCAAATCCAATGCTCTTTTCTTGGACATTAGAGAAATAAGGTGCTCCTGGGGAGTGGGGTGCCTCCCTTCAGAAATTCCCATTTGCCTTAGAGCCTGATTTTCCAAAATTTACCTTTTTGGTGTGTTGCACCCTTTTCTTGGGAGGGGGGCAAGTGGGCTCCGGTACTGAAAACCACCCCTCTCTCCCATGCCCCTTCAGGCTATGCCCCCTGGCTCTTTCGCCAGCCACGCCCCTTTGCCCCCAGTTACCCATAACCCCGCCCATTAGGCCCCGCCCTTCTCAAGATCCGCCCCGTAGCTCTTTTGGCCCCGCCCCTTGCCTTCCCCCGCCCACATCGGACCCCGCCCCCCTCTGCTCCGCCCCAAGCGCTACTTTGACCTCCTCTCCCACCCGGAAGGCGCCCCCCAACCCCGCGCGTCCCCGCTTACCGGGCCGCGCGCCCCCGGGCCCCCCCGCCCCTCACTCGGCGGCCAGAGCCGCAGCCTGGGCCCCTCCCGCCGCCATCTTGCGCCGACTCCCTCCGCCCTCCGCCTCCGCTCCGCCTCCCGCCCCTCCGGCTTTAAAGGCACAGGCGGGCTCCCCCACCCGAGCCGCTGGGCAATACTTGGCCGACTCGGCCACTTCGCCTTTAAAGAACAGTTGTCTCATTCCACCTTAAAGGTACCAGGTCTCTTCCGCTGCTGAGGACTTAGGGCTTGGTTCGGCCGAAGCTCTCATTCCCTTTTAATTCGGTAAGCCTGCCTCTTCCCATTGGCGATGGGTCCTGGCCACCGCTGCCTGAGCTCCGCCCCCGAGCTGTGGCCATTAGCAGATTTGCGGGCTCTAATCGCCCCGGTCTCCCAGCTTCTGACAGTCCCCCAGAAACCCCACCCCCTTCCTCCGGGCCTGGATTGGCCAAATAACCTTGAGTAGGCCCCTGATTGGCCTTTTTACTGCTACCGCTCGAAGTGAGAAAGTAAAGCGCGTTCAAGAAGCTGAAACACATTTTTTTAGTGCCTAGCAGAGGGCAAGGGGAAGGCCTGAGGGCGAGGAAATCCCAAGAAAGGCGTGCTAAAGGTAGCTAGAAAGGACAGATCCCGGGCTACCCAGGAGGCAGGCTAACTCTAAACCGGAGAACAGCTGGTGCCAATCACGAGCTGGTGAGAGCAGGACGAGGAAAAGACAGGGGTACAATAAGAAAAGAACTTTATTGTTTATTAATGTTTCTGTGTAAAACTTAAGCCTTTTTTTTTAAAAAAAGAAACCACCAAAAGGGGATTAGCTCAGTCCATCCCTTCCTCTGTCGTCTGCTTCCCACCATCCTCCAAATACTATTCCAAAACATTTTGTAGGCAGGGAGGAGGGGGAGGCAGCTAATCAGAATCTGAGAGAACGATGATCTCCTCTGGATCGCACTGTGTGGCCACACTCATCTGCAGGGGAGTGAGAGACAAAAAGTCAGAGAAGTCTGGAACATAGTGGGAGTTCGAGAAGCAGAGGGAAAGACTTATCAGAGATTAAAAATTGGGGTGGGAAAAAAGGAAGCAAAAGGACGTGGTGGGTGCAATATTCAGAGAACCCAAAAGAGAACAATGAGAGAGAATGAAGTCAGGAAAAGTGTCCGCCTCTTACCTTATAAGTACCAGGCCTGGAGGGTTGTGATTGGGGGGTTTGGGACAACCGGGGTGGAAATGGACTACAGAGGGAGCTGGTCACCAGGCCATGGCTAGGAGAGTCCACCCTCGTTGAGGAATCAGCAACTGGAGCCATGGAAGCCAAGGGGGAAGGTGGGCTGGGCAGCGTACATGTCTTCTTCCCATTCTTCCCACGCAATGCCCTTTGCCTTTCCATGTAGCTAGGGACAGAAACATAAAGGTGTGGAGGTGTCTGAGCCTGAGGCTGGAGGGGGAGTGTTCAGTTTCTCCCAGCAGACCCAGTTCCACAACATTCCTCTCAGAAAAAAGGCCCCTGGAGTCCCTCCTTGGCTTCCCTCTTCCCTCTCCTTGTTGCTGTTACCTATTTCTTAATGGCCCTGCTTCTGTTTCCTTCTCCATCCGAGATTTCTTCCGGGGAGGACTGGCATCTCCCCAGGTGTGAGGAGAGACCCCTCCATTGAAGGAAGTGGAGGTGACCATGGCTGCTCCATTCTCCAAAACAGTGGTGAGGGGTTCCTCTGATTGCTTCCTGGAAGAGGAAACATCCCTCTCCTCAGGAGAAGGGGTAGTATCCAGGGGCAAGGCTTCAATCTCTAGCTCAAAGAGCTGAGACATAGGGCTCTCTTCCTGCAGGGGCAACTCTTCGAGGTGTTCTCCATTGCTTTCAGCATCTATGCTAGAGAGGGCTGGGGGCTCTTCTGACAGTGAAGATGGTGACACTGCGAGTCTTTTGTTTTGCTGCTCCCCTGAAGACCTGCTGATCCCTTTGCTAGGTTCCAGGTTCTTTTCGGTGGAGATCTGTAGCAGGGACATGGGGCTCTTATCTCCATCCTTACCTGGAAAAGAAGTAAAGAGGAGAGAGGTAACAGAAGAACTAGGGGAGAGAAAACTGCTGAGAGGACACTAGGAGAAAGAGGAGGAAGAGGAGGAAGGGAAGGTTCTCAAACAGGGGGCTCATGCCCAAGAGCAGAGGGAACTGACACATGGGAAGACTGTCCTTGACATACCTGCTTCCTCCTCCTCCTCCTCTTCATCGTCCCCCTGACCTTCCTGCATCTGTTCCAGATCCTCCTCTTCTTCAGAATCTGTAGCCTCCTCCTCTTCTTCCTCCTCTTCTTCCTCCTCCTCCTCTTCCTCCTCCTCCTCACTTTCCTCATCTTCTTCATCATCTGTCTCAGCCTTGGAGGTGGTAGGGCATTCCTGGGATGCCATCCCACTGGGGCCCTACAGGGAACAAAGGAGTTTCTCTAAGGAATCCCTTGCCCTAGAGGGGCTGGTTCTTGTGTTCCTTCTGCACACTTCCCTATCAGTCACCATGGACTCCCTCCTGGCCAGTGCAGGGAAAGGATAGGGTCTCTGAAGGGTGTTTCCCTTCCATACCTCACCAGAATCCAGGGAGGCTTTGGGGGGATCTACAGATTGGGAAGAGGTGGCTTGGGGGAGCCGGGCTCTTCTCCTCTGTCTCTCGCCCTCCTCACTCTGGTCTTGCATCATTGCATATTTAGAGATGACCTCATCCAGACGGCTCATAGCCAAGCTCCGGTTCTCCCGCAGGCGCCGGGCGAGGACAGGATCTGACAGTGCGGGATCAATGCCTATGTGGGAAGACATAAAGTCAGAGCCAGTCACCCAGAACCCAACCCAGAAGGAGGGACTAGAGAGATGCCTCCTCCACCACACACCTGACATACTAGGGTTACTTATGGGTATCTCACTAATGCCTACCTGGCCTATAGTCATCTGTGAGGTGACAGCCAAAGTTGTAGATGAGATCGAGGTGGCGACGCTCCTGTAACCTGATGCCCACATCTCGGAAGGCATCCTGAGCCATCAGCTGGAGCTGCTGTCGGGGGAGGCCAAGACTGTGCCGAGCAGCTGCTTTCTCTACGGCCCGCAGCACATCTCCATAGTCAGGGAAGGTATCAAGCCCTGGTTTGTTGATGAGCCGCTCAATGCGCCTGTTCACCTCTGGGTAGCGGGTACCACGATAGGGGATGCGCTGCTCTATGACCCGGCCTGTCAGTGAAGAGCAGTCTTTCAGCTCACACAGCCGCCCAAAGAGGCGGATCAGCTTACGCTTCAACCTTGCCTCCTGCAGGTAAGTGGAGTCTGGGTCGTCCAGTTCTGAGAGATCCAGCTCCTTTTCCTGCAGCCGCCGGATCTCCGCTACATAGAGTGCTAGCAGCTGCTCCAAGCGCTGGATCTGCCGCCGGGAACCACGGGTCCTTGGGGCCTCAGAGGCAGTGGTCTCAGCATTTGTGGGGTCCGAGGAGGAGTCTGTGGGAGGGTTATTCCCAGAGGGCTCACCAGAGGTGGTGGCAGCAGGGGCCAGGTTCAGCTTCTTCTTGGCTGAGTGGGCCTTGAGGACAGTGCAGAGCTCATTAATGTAGACATAGAGCTTAGCTGGTCGGCTCTGAGCCCGAGAGAGGACCCGAGAGAGGATGTTGCAGAACTCCGCGGAGGCCAAAAACAGAGAGTGGGCACGCTGCTGCCGGTTATAGAGGAATGGGACCACCTCAGGGTGGTCCGCTGTCTGCGTCTTACACAGTTCAAGGAACTGGAGGGTTCAGGGGAAAAGGGGAGGGGGAAAGAGACAAGGGATGGGGTTGAGAGAAAGAAGGCGTGGTGGGGTTAGTGGGGAAGAAAGGATAGGAGAGCCAGTCAGCCATCCCCCTCCCTGGAGTACAAGAATCTTCTCCCCTAAAGCTCACCTCTTTAAACAGCTTCTCATTCTCCAACTTGTAGCATTTCTTGCCGCCCGAACTACTGCTTCCTCTGGCCCCATGGGGCTGGGAGGAGCCAGGGGCTTCTGCCCCGGGTGAGGCCGGATTGGGGGGTGGGTGGGAGGGCCCTGGCTGAGCAGCTGCTTCGTCTTCATCATCATCATCCAGCACGATGATGCTGTTAGCGGTGGCCATGGGGGATCAAATCCCCCGGAGGGAGGAAGTGTTGGGGATTTCGTAATTCCTGCTGGAAGGGGATGGGGCCTCAGAAAGAGCCCCTCCAGCACAGCCCCATCCCTTCATCTCACACATTTTCCAGTCTTCCTGGGTTTCAAAAACACCCAGCCATGCTCAACAGTGTCCTCACTGCCTGTGTTCAGCAACCATTAGTACCATATGTTTTTCTGTACCTTTACTGTGGGAGCCCCAAACTGTCTGAAAACCTCAAGTCCCACCCCCAGCTCCACCCCTCACGTCGATATCCGGTCTTTCGGTTGTGTTTCTCTATTTCTCATAGTTGGCAAGTTGACTTTTACTCTCAATCTCTGGACCATCTCTCACATTGCACTCCAGATTTCCTTGACATCCTCTTGAACAGATACCACACCCCGGGTGGCATTACCTCACGTGTTATCCCCTCTGCTTTCACACACATCAAATCCACATCCTCACCCCAACCTGAAGGATCACCCCAACTCCTAGACTCTCTGGGGCGAAGGAGGTTCCCTCCCAACAATCCATTCCCTTTTTTCCTGCTTAAATTATCTCCATATTCCACCCTCTGATGGGTCTCCTCAAACCGGGGCATTAGGTTGGAGATGTTTCACCTCAAGTCCCCTCCCTCTCACCCCACCCTAATTTTCCTCATTCTCTCCCTGTGACCTGTAACTGATCGTGAGCCCCGCACTGGGCTCTCCTGAATCCTCTCAGATTCCAGCCCTGAGTCCGGCCCCTTAACCTAGATGAGCTTCCCGCCAAGTCCCCCGCCCCCAGTTCAGCCCCCGGCCGCCCCACTCCCCTTCAGGGATAGGAAGGAAGGTACTACAGCTTGCCCCTCAGACTCAGAGCCCGGGACTCCCCAGTACCTCTCCCTCGACATTCCCGCCCCCGCCTTTGCTCTCAGCACCGTCGGGCCCCCACCTCAGAAACGGTCTCTCGAGGCGACCCTCGCCGCCGATCTCAGAACCTCGCATGGTTCCCTCCGCCTTCCTTCCCCCTCCCACCGCAGGCCCCACTCCGGACCGGAAGTCTTAGGAGTTTCCGCCTACAGGCACCTGGGAGCGGCCATATTATCGCACGGAATCCCCCGTGGCCGGAAGTCGCGGTAGGCCCGCCCCCCGAGCGCTTCCAGTGCCGCCCATATTGTCAGCGGCTCCCTTCCCCCTGACCTGCTGGGGGAGGATTTGTCACCTCAGGGGGTCCCAAAGTACCTGGGGGCCGCCATTTTGCCATACGGCGTTAGCTACGCCTGAACTGGGGCGCGCCGCGGGGATTAAGCTCTTTTCATCCGGTGCTTCTGCGACTCCGCCAATCAGAAACTTCCCGCGTCCGGCCCAACCGCCCACGAGTCGCATGCAGGGAGGACTGAGCCACCTTTCCAAGTACGGGAGGGGGGAACGCAACAGGGCAGCTAAAGAATTGGGCCCTCCATGGCTGCATAGGGATGCAAGGAAGGTCGGGAGTCTCTTAAGAAGGAAATGAAACCTTTTCCATCCGCTGGGCTTTTGACAAGACTTCTAGTGCTATTTTCCTACCTGCCAGGTAGTTTCCACGGCTTAATCGACTGTACCTGCCATTCCCTTCTACGGGCTGCGCGCTCCCTTGCCGCTGTCCAGCAGCTATTTCTACATCCAGGTGCCAACATCTCCCAGTCGTGAAATCACAATACATGCATGCAAATGAGCACAACGCGCTATACATATGTGGTGGTGTTATTATTGCTATTGTTGTTGGTTTTGCTTTTCAAGCTCCACCACAGACTAATGACCAACCAAGTAGGGACCTAGGTGGTTCTCTGTCCTTTTCTGGAGGAGGTCCTCGAGGCACAGGCGGTGATAACCAGTAGGCTGTGCTTTGTCCAGGAGCTCCAGGGCCTGAGGACGGGCAATGTAGGGCGGAGACTCAGGAGAATCTGTGCAAATTGCCGCTGTGAGAGCTGTGAGACGAAATGAGGCTCATAAAATACCTCGAGTCTCGTCTCCTTTTCCTCTGGGAGAGCTGATGAAAGAACATGAGAGAAGAAACGGACTTTAACGCCCACCTCGCCCGCATCCCCACCTAGCCCAGCTTTAGGGACACTAGAGGGACTCGTGGAGGCAAAGCTGGGTCCAAACGTGAGCTTCTGGGGAAACCGAAAAGGTTAACACGGTTCCAGTCCCTGAGATTCCCACTTCCTGCATCACTGCGCATTCCACAAATGGTGAGCATCTTTCTAGGACCACAGACCCTTACATCCCCAAGCTCTCAGAGTCCCAGAACCTCAAACCCTCCCTTCCGTTAAAGAATCCCACTTCCCTCCAATAGTCTAAGCCTATAGTCTTCAAATTGGGGAACATGAAAACACTCCAAAGGGTACTTGGATTTGGAAGCTATAAGGGATTTAATTTCCAGAGCCTCAGCTTTCCCAAAATTTGTCTTCCTGAGTAAATGCCTGCAGTAGAGCTTCTCCTTCTTTTTCCCTTTTACAATAGACTTTTTCCCTCTTTAAAAAGAAAAAGTATAGTCTCAACCATGAAATCTCCTGGGGATAATCTTACCTTGTCTTAAATAGACATGTAGCCAGGTTCTTTATCAAACCACCATAAGCACCACCTCATCTATGTCATTTAAAATATTATTTTTTATTTTAACAATTATGAGTTTGTACAATCTTTATGCTATTTGACCAGTTCTGCTCTTATAATTGTAATGATAACCCAGAAGAAATTTTTCTAAAAAGCTAGAGTCATATGGTTACAAGAAAGAAAAATAATTTTCATTTCAGTTAATACATATGCAGGAAAGTTTGATAGATAGGTCAATAAAAAGACTTTCAAGTTGGGGAGGGAAATAGCTCAGCGGTAGATCGCATGCTTAGCATGTATGAGGTCTTGGGTTCAACCCTCAATTCCATTAAAAAAAAAAAGCTTTCAAGTATAAAAGCATAAAATTGTCTGTAGGGAAATAGAATGGTAACAGGAGTTCTGGAAGAAAAGGAATGATGGAAGAAGAAAAGGGAAGATTCCCAATTGTATTTGTGGGGGGGGGTAATTAGTTTTTTTTTAATGGAGTTACTGGGTATCCCCCACTTTTAATGGAGGTACTGAGCTCCCCCACATCCCAATTATATTTTTAAATGTGTTCTGATGTTTCAATTCCCTTGGACATTCAAAAGACTGATTTAATTGTTTTATTTTAAAATGTAAGTATTTTTATATGCCAGGAATTACATCCTTGAAACAATTTTAATTTATGATGAAAAATTTTAGATGCTCACTTAAAAATACTTGTACAAAGTTTTTCAAAATTATTTCCCAGAGTATAGATGCAGAAATTTTAAGACAGCTAGCTGCTGTAAGCTATCCAAGTGTCCCTCCCCGGCCCCCAACTATTGCCATTCACCCGTCTCCCCTCTCACCTCCGTTGCAGGGAAAGAGGATGTTTATAGGACAGGGGTCACAATTCCAGCTCCTCCTCCTTCTGTGGTGTTCTCAGGAGCCAGTCCCCAAACTTTTCCCATGGTAGCAGCCACAGCAGCTTATACACAGCCTCCAGCATTAGTAGTGTCAGGAAGAGAACCAGGAAGATAAAGAAGGCCTTATCCATGGCCCGACGCAGAGGACCCCTGGGAGGAGAGGGACGTTGGGCAAATGCAAGGAACACATCCTCCTCGTCCACATCAACCTCCTCCTCGGCCATCCTAGCCCACAGTCTGATTCTGACAGCTGGCTGGCTCAGGGAGGCTAAGATGGAAGCCCTTACTCAGCGTTGCCAGGATTAAGGAGCATGGTGTTGGTAAATTCTGCACCTGTGGGGCTTGACCCCAATTCCCCCATACAGAGAAAGAAAGGAGAGTAGGGCTTCTGAGCCTTTGGAATAATCAGTGCAATGTGAATGGCCTGGATTAAATAATTCCTAAAGTCTGCCCAGCTTTAGCATTTTATAATTCTATATTTCAGAAACTGAAGGCCCAACATAGAGACATGCAAGCTGAAACTGCCCAAGTTAATCTGGGTCTCTAGGCTTAAGGCTCAAGGTCTTGGGCCCCTACAGAGAATGAGCAAGTGGACCTAGTATGCTACTGTAAGCGGCTCTCAATCAAGCATCATCTAAAGTCCATTCTGGCATTAACAGTGCGGGGGTGGGGGGTGGGAAGGAACTCTCCTAACCTAGGCGGGTGGGCGGGATTGGGAGGGTGGGATGGGCAGCGGGAGGGATGGGAAGGGGGAGGGTTGTGCAGAGGTGGCTCCAGTCGGCGCAGGCGTAGTTCTTCAAGTCTGCAGGCCGACAAAGATTGCAGCGCAGAAACCCAGCCGGCTGTCTTCCAGACTTTGAGGATAATTATAATTGGGCTTCAGGAGCCCAAGCGGAAGTTTATAAAAAGAGAAAGACCTTGATTGGTCAGCGGGGCGAGGGTAAATGATTGAGACTTAACTGTTGGGGCAGTAAGAAGGAAGATTGAGGTTTTGTTTTAGGAGTCCTGATCTGAGTTGCTCGTGGGAAATTTCCAAGAGGCTGTCTTGGGGCAAAGGTTGAAGCCACTTTGACCAGGTTCTTGAGGGAAATCAAAGTCCGTATGGAGACCTGCGGGCCACCTCCCCACCTCCCAAAAGTAGTGGTTGTTGGATGAAGTGCGGACAGCAGAGGAAGCGGCGCTTGAGGTAGTGGACCTCATATCTGGCGCTTCAAGGGTCTGTTACCTAAAACCCCATTTTGATTTTAATAAGACATTGTTTTCTTGGAAAGACCTTGTTTACCCCAAAATGGTACAAATGATGTCACAATTTTGTTTACAGTCAACTCATATTATCGTGTGCTCCACCACAGGAGGTCACATTACGAATCAAAAAGCCTGGATCCGGGTCCGAACGAGTCACTAGTTGTGTTAAATTAATTAAACAAGGAGGCCATTAAACTGAGGGAGCTCTAACGTCGTGGCAGCCTATCTTAGCAAGCCAAAGTCTAAACCCATCCAGGCCTCAAGCTTATGTAATCAAAATGGTAAAGGGCAACCAATCACACACAGCCAACTAGGTAGGTTTTAATCTACAGCCAATGAAATAATTTCCTTTCTCTGCTTCCACACTTTCTCCACTTAAGCCTTTCCCAGGGCTCAGATCTGAGGAAAGCTCACAACAACTTCTGGTTTGACTCTACCCCATTCCAATGCATTTTTGCTCAAATAACTCAAATTTTTAACATGCCTCAGTTTATTTTTAACAGTTGTGTGAACAAGACCTTGGGCAAGTCACCTGACTTTTCTTTAGTTTTTTTATAAAATTGAAAAACTTGCTCCAGAGTTGTCATGAATAAGGTGGTTTCGTTTTTGGTTTTTTTATAAATAAATTATGAACTGCTGTGTAAATATAATGTATTGATTTCTGATACCCTCACTTGTGTCTCAGGCAAGTTTGCAATAAGGGCACCCAAACATCTTTATCATCTTCATACAGTTCCTTCCCCATGGTAGGTTCAGCACTAAGATCTTGTATAATACATAAACCTAGCACTTGATTGTATAAAAAAAGTCTTTTGAAGTAATTGCAAACAATATCAGGAACTCTGGCATCTTTTTCACCCTAATTCCCCATTTGTCAACGTTTTGCTATATTTGTTTCTCTCAACTCCAATATAACCATAAGTTATAGGTGTCACTCCAAAATTCAGATATTGTAGCCCTAACTCCCCATATCTCAGAATATGACCTTATTTGGAAATAGAGTTGTTGCAGATGTGATTCATTAAATTAAGAAGAGGTCATACTGCAGTCAGGTAAATCTTTAATCCAATATGACTGATGTCCTTATAAAAAGGGGAAATTTGGGCACATACATGCATACAATGAGAACACCAGGTGAACATGAAGGTAGAGATAGGGTTGATGTGTCTACAAGCCAAGGAACACCAAAAATTGCCAGCAAACCAACAGACTACTCTGCTAGGAAAGAGTCATGGAACAAACTACTCTGTCACAGTCCTCAGAAAGAAACAACCCTGCCAACACTTTGATTTCAGACTTCTAAGCTTCAGAATTATGAGGCAATAAATTTCTATTGTTTAAGCCATCCTGTTAGTGGTACTTTGTTATGTACCTAACCTAGCAAACTAACATACCATTCTAATCAGGAAATCAAAAATTGACAAACCTCTGGCCAGGTTTACCAAGAAGAAAAGAGAGAGAACACAAATAAACAAAATGAAAAAGGAAAATGGGGAAATTACAACCAATACCACAGAAATACAAAGAACTGTAAGAGGAAATCAACACCACTATCCAATTCATAGGTACATTTCAATTTTCATCAGCTTTCCCACTAATGTCTCTGTCCTTTCTGGCTCAGGATCACATACTGAATTTGTTGTCATATATCTGCACTCTTTTTCAATCTGGGCAGTTCCTCTGTCCTTCCCTGTCTTTCATGAATCACTTTTAAAGTGTACATGCTTTTCATTTCTGTAAGATGTCCCTTAAACCTAAATGCATGTAAGGGCAACGGAGAAAAGATGTGCCTTTCTTGGTGAACCATAACAGAAGGTTCAGGAGGGGGAACCATCTCACCCCTGGTGCTGCCAAACCAGTCTGGCAGGTTTTTCCACCATTAAAGCCATCACCGTCCCTTTGTAATTCCTAGATATGTGAGACATCACCAAATCTACACCTATTGCCTTAGCATCCATGGATCACCCCCATGGGAATAAGCACAATGATGTTTATTAAATGATGATTTTTGTTGTTGTTGTCAGTGGAGGTACTGGGGACTGACCCCAGGACCTCATGCATGCCAAGCATGTGCTCTACCACTGAGCTATACACCCCATGATGATTTTTTTTTTCATTCCATCATTTCTTCTTCAGTTTTTGTCAGTCAACAATCTAGTATAAAAGAGAATATTTTCTCTCTCATTTATTTATATCATATGGACTTATGGATTCCTATTTTACTCAGTGAATTATAATCCATTACTATTGTATTTATGTAGTCTGGACCCATACATTTCTATTTTATTTAATTAATTGTAATCAGTTACTATCATTATTAATTTTATGTACAAATTATCTCAAATTTGGCAAATGAGAAAGCCCTTCCAGCTAGCTCCTATGTCCTTTCAAAATGTTCTCAACATTATTTAACCATTTCCTTACATTCTGGTACAACAGGTAATCCAGGCTCAATTTGTACTTTTCCTGTCTCAGCCCAGGAATCAACCATTTCTTTAAGGGGCTCTGGCTTCTTTTGACAAAGATGGTATTTGGAAGCCAAGATCTGGGTGCCAGATGTTCTCATTGCTACTACAATGACATGTTTTTAGGCCTTCTCAGCAGACAGAGCTAAGAAAGGTATGAATGTATGTACATATACACACAGAAACACAGAAACACTCTGTTCCAGTTACTATTGCTACCTAACATACCACCCCAAAACTTGATGCAAAACGACAATTTTGTTATGCCCATGGACTACTATGTCAGAGAGGACACAGTGAGGATAGCTTGTGTTTGTTCAGTGATGGTCTGTGTCCTTATCTGGGAAGACTTAAATGCTGAAGGTGAGAACTGCTGAGATCTGGAATCACCTGGAGGCATCCTCACTCATGTGTCTGGTAACTGATGCTAGCTTTCAGCTGGATCTCTGCTGGGGCTGTGGGCCAGAACACTTACATGTGTCCTTTCTATGTAATTATGCTGTGATAATTGAGATTTTCACATGATCTATGTTCTATTGATGGTAATGGGATAAAGAATTTAAAAGTTAAAAGAAAGAATTTAAAAGTTAAATGCAACTGATTTCAAACTTTACATAATTATATATATTTTCAGAAAGATGTAAAATAAAGTTAATGTAAAATAAAATTATTTCTGTGCTTTCAAATGTTATTTTTCTAATGTTTAAATCATCTATTAAAATTAAAATGTAAAACAAATTATACTGAATAAATATTAAAAATTGTTTCTAGAGAGCTGACACTTTAAAATTTAACTCTTTGAAATTTTAATTAAATCATATTAAATATTTTTATAAAAATAAAACTATATGTAATTCAAGCATTAGATGTCTATTTAGTTGCCAGTGTAACTTCATGTGCCATGTTTGTTAAGCATACTTAGATACATACCAATTTAAGAGTAATATTGTGTAGTACAGGAAAATGTTTCTTAGCCACCATGTGCAAGTGTGGCTCTACTGGGAAATGATACATCATCATGTAAGAAAGTATTGCATTCGTGGTGACTGAGAGAGAAGATTTGACAAGTTAATTGATTTGTCTGTTCTCTTACCTAACCACCATCACTGCTAATCCTCCCTGCATTCAAACAAGAGTCCATGTCTAGGCTCAGCAGCAGCACAACCCATACATCTTCACAGCATTGGGTCACCACCACCTTTTGTTTCAATGACAGAGGACAAGAGGAATGGAGACACAGTTCCTTGGGATTGAATAGTGTTAATTACAACAGCCCATGTGTAGACTTATGGTCAGGTGGTATATAGTAGGCAGCTTTCTAAAATGGCTCCCGGTGATCTCCACCTTCTGATATTCATGCCTTGTGTAATCCTCTCCTCTTGAGTGTGGACTGAATCTAGTGACTTGCTTCTAACGAATAGAATATGGGAAAATTGATGAGATGTTTCTTTTGAGATTAAGCTATAAAAGTCATGACTTTTGTCTTGTAGGCAGCCTCTCTACTGCTGACTTTGAGGAAGCAAGCTGCCATTCTGGAGAGGCCCACATGGCCACAAACTGAGGGTGACCTCCGGGCAATAGCCAACAAGAAACTGATGGCTTCAGTCCAGCAATCTTTAAGGAACTGAAGCCTGCCAACAACTGGGGGAGCAAGCTCTTTCCCCAACTGAGCCTTCAGTTGAGATCACTGGCAGCACCTGGATGGCAGCTTTGTGAGACACCCTGAAGCAGAGGGTCAGAGTAGGCTTCTCTCAGATTTCCGACCCACAGAAATCATGAAATAATGTGTGTTTTTTTGAACCACTAAAAAAATTTGTGGTAATCTTTTATGCAGCAAAGACAACTAATATATTGTGCCAGAATTAAGTGTCAGATCCTTAGTAAGAGAGATACCCATATGTCCTTTCTGAATCTGTCCTTTTTGTGTTATGACATGTGGGGTTTGCTAAAATGTGGGGCTCAAGACAGAGTCCCTTCTTGCCTGGGTATGAGAGCAATACCAGGACCAGTTAATTAGTCTTCAGTTTTTTTTTTTTTCTTGCATGTTTCCTAAAAACATTTTGGAAAACTATGTGACTTCTTGTGTATATTTTACTTTATATCTAATTCATTTTTTTGAAAATTAAAATAACTACAAAGAGTGTAAAAATTGTGATATCTTGTAAATAGTGACATTTTAAAGTAAGACTGTTTATATTACTCTTTTAAATGTATCCAATAGAACCTATATGCCATAGCTTTTTGATATTCAACATCATCTTTTTAAAATGTATTAATAAAATGTTCTTCAACAGTTAGACATTTTACATTATTTTTCCTTTGAATTCATATTTTGTTCACTTCCACTACATAATTTTATCTTAATTTAATGTATTTTTTAAAAATAAATCATTTCTTCTTTTTAAAATTTTTATTTTTGTGGGGAAGGTAATTAAGTTTATATATTTATTTGTTTTTATTTTTATTTTATTTATTTATTTTTTAATGGAGATGCTTGGGATTAAACCCAGGACCTCATGCATGGTAAGCATGGGCTCTACCACTTGAGCTATACCTTCCTCCAATTTAATGTAGTTTATATCTGAAAGTGTTGTACTGATCTCCCTATATTTCTCTGCAACAAAATATATTTTTAAAAATTAGTTCTTTTCAATTTCTTTTAACCATAGTACTATGTTTAAAATTTTCTTTTGGATTGAACTATTAGCAACAGCCCAAATTGATCAAAGTCACATAAGTACATTATACATTTTGAAAGATAACTATTATACATAAATATAAAATTTTATTCAAAATGCAACTTTTAATGGCTTTTGAACTAGTCCATGTTTCATTGAATCACACTGCTGGAATGAGACAGCATTCAGTAACAATTCTCTTTCTATTTTTTTCCTTTTCATCAAAATAAGAGCTGAGAGTTCTTGTTCACATAAATAAGTGAATGGAAATGGAAATATTTTTATTATAGCAATGACACTCACTTTTTTGGACTCCATCTGAATTATATGTCAAAAATCACATCATGAGCCATCATTAAATTTATTTTAATGATATTCAAGCTGAAAACTCAATTAGATTCTCTTTTAATCTTGTTGAAAGCAAAGAATAGGAAACCACCTGACTTGCCAAAGGATTCATTACTCAATCATTAGAGTCATTTACTTCCAAAAACAATATTTCTAATATTTCAAATTGTACCTCTGTTTAGCAACCCAGATGTTTTTACATTTCCCCACCTTGGGAGAATGGCAAATGGGCAATGGTAAAAAAGGAGGAGAGAAATGAGAATTTGCACAACAGTTCTCATGCAAACCAGTTTTAGGAAAAGGACATAGGAATAGAATATGCAAAAATGAATACCTTCATAACAGACCATGCCCTCATGCCCTTTGTAAGGTTTTTGTGTGAATTTTGGAGTCTGCACACTCCAGGGTGAAGACCACTGGACTAGGGAAGTATAGTATGATTGTCAGCCAGCATGACGTCTACTTGAGATTTACAGTAAATTCAAAATGAGACCAGCTAGTATGGTGGTGTGGTTCTCTTTCCCTCCAGATACATTCAGTTACGTGTGTGCAATGGCAGAGTTGGCAGAGAGTGAGGGCTTTGCCAAGAGTGCTGGGAATGGATGAAGTAGCAAAGGAGTCAAGGCTGTGTGCAAAAATAACATCAGGCTTATTGGTGAAGTCCAGACAGGAAGGTGAGTACTAAAATTTCCAGTTCTTAAGGAGGAGCTCTTCCAGGGTAGCAAAGTGAGAAGAGAAGAGAGTCACAGATCAGGCTTTGGACAGTTCTGGGATTTAATGTCAAGAAACCATGGAGATCAAGAGCCATCTGAGACGTAGGAAGGGTATCAAAAATTGTTGGGTCTTGGAGGCTAAGAGACAAATGTCCCAAGAAAGTGGAAGTCTACTTGTCATCTGCTGCTGCAAAATCAAATAAGAGGAAGTCTCTAAAGTTCACTGTATTTAGTTACATGGAAGTTATTGGGGAATTTAGGGAGAGTAAGCCAACCAGATCTTTACATTTGCTTCGTTGAATTTTACTTTTCTTTTTAACAATGTGTATCAAACTATCCTAAAACTTCATGTCTTAAAACAACAGCCATTTAATTAGCTCACCCTTCCACGGGTCGGCATATGGGCTGGGATCATGTATACAATTCTTTTAAAGCAAGGTTCTCTCTTGTATTTGTTATCAGCTGCTGGTCAGTTGATAACTATGCTTCTGAAGACTGGCTGGGTGTTGCTGGAATGATAGGAAGCACCTCAGCCACACGTCTTATCATCCAGAAGACTAGCCTGAGTGTGTTTGCTGGCAGGGTTTCAGGACTGAGAGCAGAATGTACAAGGCTTCCTGAGGCTTACGCTCAGAGCTGGTATAAGGTCACATCTACCTTGTTTTACTGACCGAAGCAAGTCACAAGGCCAATCCAGATTCCAGGAGTATGGAAACAAGGTCCACCTTTTGATGGAGTACCTGCCAAGACACACTGTCAAGAGCCTGGATAACAGGAAGTAGGGGAGAATTGGAGACAATTCAACACCTAGATGGATTCAGAATTTGGGATACAGAGTGTAGGGGAGCGATAGTCGGCAATCATGGGGTTATACAAACCCACAAACAGCCCACAGAGCAAGTCAATCTGAACGTGTCATGACCAGAGGAAACCAAAACCACTTCTGGCTTGTGCTGGTTAAGTGAAGCATTTCCTCCTCTTACTTCCCTGCATCTGTCTTTGATGGGTAAGGTGGGACACTGAGGAAGGCTGAAAAGAGATGCACAAAGAAGCAGCTAGACACACTGCCTCTTTTTCCTAACACAGCTATCCAAGTCAAGCTAGTGATAGCTGGCCAAGAGAAGAAACGTCATTTAAAATGAAGTGTGGAGGACTTTTCAGAGGGAGACTGAGCAGATACATTCTGTGGCCTTCTTGAGTATTGTTCAGAGAGGAAGGAAGAGCTAGCCCCACAGGGCAGATTCCAAGAGACCATGGGGTAAAGGATAACACTATTATCAGATTACAATCTGCAAGTCCACAGACGCATGTACTGCTACAGAAGTAAAAAACTACAAATTGTCCTAAGTGGTATAAAGGAAATAAACAGCATGAGAGAGAATTAGTGATATAGATAGTGGGGAGGCACTGAGTTCCTTGATGGAGTGGCCCGAAAAGGGCACCCCAAGGCGACTTGAAGTAAGACAATGAACCAGTCCCAGTGTTTCAGGCAGAGGGACTGACTAGTGTCAAGTCCCAAGCCAGGAAAGACCTTGCCATATTTGACATCAATTCTTTTTCCTTTTTAACTACAACTTATGGGATAAAAAACACATTTTACTGCTGCAATCCAGAACACATACGTGTCTAAAACAAAAATTTCATGAAATTCTTCTTCTACATAAAATGCTAAAATGTACTCTGGTATTTTATTTCACTTCAGAATCATTGAGATATAATTTGCATACTGTCAAATTCACCCGTTTCAGGTGTACAGTTCCATGTATTTTGACAAATGTATATAATTGCATACATCACCACAATCAAGATACAGAACACTTCCATCGCCTTCAAAATTCCTTCTTGTCCCTTTGTAGTGAATCCCCTTTCCCACTGTGAAGCCATTGGCAAGCACAGATCTGATTTCTGCTCCTATAGATTTAAAAAAATTGTTTTTCTTGATGTGTCTGCCTACATGTTTATTGATTTGGTATCATTGATTTTCTTATTAAATTTTAAATTTTTTATTCTTTTACTTCATTACATTTTTGTTTTGTTTTGTTTTAGCAGGGAGGTAATTAGGTTTATTTAGTTATTTATTAGGAGGAGGTAATTAGGTTTATGGGTTGACTGATTGACTAATGGAGGTGCTGGGGATTGAACCCAGGACCTTGTGCATGCTAAGCATGTGCTCTACCACTGAGCTATACCCTCCTTCATCAATGATTTTTCTCTATTGTTTTTCTGTTCTCAACTTCATTGATTTCTGCTCTAATCTCCCTTATTTCTTCCCTGTTTACTTTGAATTTAATTTGCTCTTTTTTCCTAATTTCTTAAGATGGAAGCTTAGATTAATGATTTGAAACATTTCTTGTTCTTTAGTTTAATGTTTACATTTCCATTCAGGCGCCCCTTTACCTGTGTCCCACAAATTTTGATATGCTGTGTTTTCATCTGCATTCAATTCAAAATCTTTTCTAATTTCCCTTATTATCTCCTCTTTGACCCATGGGTTATTTGGACATGTACTGTTTAATATGCAAGTATTTGAGAGATTTTTCAGATATCATTCTGTTATTGATTTCTAATTTAATTCATTTGTAGTCAAAGAACATACTTTTTATGATTTCAGTTATTTAAAATTTGTTGGCAGGGGATGGGGTATAGCTCAGTGGTAGAGTGCATGCTTAGCATGCATGAGGTCCTGGGTTCAATCCCCAGTATCTCCACTTAAAAAATTTAAAAAAAATTTTAAACAACTTTATTGTGGTATAATTTCTGTCCAGTAAACTACACATATTTCAGATGTACAACTTGATGAATTTTGATAGATATATACACCTATGAAACCACCACTTCCATCAACTCCCCAAGAGGTGCAAATTTCAAAAGAGGCATGATGACTGTCCAGAATCTCTAAGTGTGCAGGGTCACCTCTGGTGCACCCCCAGTTTTCTATCAGACCTCTAGTGATGATCAGGTCCCTGGTGCTGCCACATCTCTGCCCCCATCACTGTCCTTTTACACCGAGCTTCTGCACAGATGGACTTGGATGGTGCATCAACCTCCTTCCACAGGCCTCAGCTCCCACGGCTGGGGATGTGGTCTTTATCGGTTCTTATCTTCTCCCTTGTTCTAAAGCAGAAGGTCTTCACAGGGAGTTCAAATTTCCCCCATCCAGGTATAACTTGATTCATTTTGTTTTTTCACTCATTCACTTAATCAAAGTCAACAAATATTTATTTATAGCCAACTTTGTGCATCCACATTCCAAGCATGGGAGTAGTGGTGAACAAAAATTAGGTCACTGCCCTCATGCAGCTTGTGGTCCAGCTGAAAATACTAACATTAGTGAGACATTACAGTGAAATGTGAAGTGAGTTACGATAGAGGAAATAAAACATGCTGTGAGAGGTATGGAACAGTGACATCTAATCTAGTGTGAGAGACAGTAAAGAGCTTTCTAAGGATGTGAAGTTCAGGATAAGAACTGAAGGATGAGTAGAAGTGAGTCCAGTAAAAGAGTGGTTGGTTGGGGGCTC